AAATTTCTTCACTTTTTCATGCTATACTTAGATTAACTTCTTATGGTCTTGATTATTTGGAATTCTTGGATTTATCTTTAAGGTGTCATGAAACTTTTATCATTTTATTTTCACACCTCAATGAGCTCAATTGAGCTATAGTTGCACTAACACACATAAAAATATCCCAAGAACATTTATGCAACTTAAAAGTTATTTTTAACATGTTTTTTAATCTCATGCTAAATAAACCCAATTATAACAAATCCTAATTAAAATATTCTATTAAAGTACAAAAGCCAATTAAGAATCCAATATTAAAGGCTAAATGAGGCATAAATATGCACTCATCATAGGCCAACCACCCTACCTAATTCAATCATCATATTGGTTCCTAGGCCCCATTGCTGGAAATGTTCGGGTTCAAAACCATATGTGGAGCTTCCGCCTCATACGGCTCCTCTAGGGATGGAGGTAGGCCCAACCCAAGTTTGTGCGGTTAAGGTTGTTGTACATGACCTTCGCTTATTTTATAAATATAGTAAAAGTTCAAAGTGATCGCTCTTAAACTTAAAATACATCTATAAGCGTTAAATCCACCTACCACCAGCCTTCTCCAAAAGAAGATGAGAGCTTGATGTGAATCCAACCAATGATTAGATGTGACCATGAGCAATGAAAATAATCCACTTGAAAGACTTGGAGGACCTATGACAAGGGCTAGAACAAGGAAGCAAAGGAAGCTCTTCAACAAGTGTTGTCCATATTAATTGAATACAAGCCCAAATTTCAAGAAAAAACGCCAAAATGGTGAATTGCATTATGGCCCAAATGGAGGATAACTAAAACATCATTTTGTTGGTGTTTTATTTTACAAGTTATTAGTTTGTTTTTAAAATAGCCAAATATTTGTAAAATTGGTTGACAAAATTATGCCTTTGGGTCAATCAGTTAGTGGGCTTTAGTTTGACTTTATGTTCAAGTTGTAATAAGGGCCCAATTTGGAAACTTAGACATTAGCCCTTATAAGCTTAACTATTTTCATAAAAAATGCACAAGTTAGGTTTTTATGTAGATAAATTAGGGTTTTATCCCTTCTATCTTAGTGAGAGTGATTCTCCTAAGTTCTTGAGTGATTCAATAATCCTTGGTTGTATCAAAGGACTTTCCATCCTCTGTGTGTTTCCTCCTGTAGAAGAATGATTCTTTTCTTTTGTTTATCTTTGTCCCTTTGTTTTTTTTTTCTTTTTCAATTTATGCCCCGTTTTATATCTTATTCATAAATTTCGTTCTACACATCTAATTTGTAGTTCAAAATGTGATCTTTGACACCATTTTGGAAACACCTCAATTGGAGTTCTGTAGTTCAAGATGTTGAAGTTTCGAAAATTATGTTCCTTATTTTTTACTAAATTACGAAATTTCTTTCAAAGTTATATCCCTAAAGATCCTCAATAAGCTCTTTCGTAAATGTGGTTCACATCAAAATTGGTAACGATGTCTATGACCTACCTATATGAAATGCTCTGTCTAGTGCCAAACTCTCTCATTTGAGAAACATAGGCATGATAGGTGCATTTTGAGAGAAGTTCCCCTCGCAAAGAATGGAGAAGGATACAAAGGTCCTATACCTATCAAGTATAGAAAATGGGTCAAACCCATCCTCTACCAATGTTGCCTCAACATAGCATTCAACTATCACCTGGTTCGTTATAGTTGAGGTCATATGCTAGAGATTGGCATCCTCCTGAAATTGAGGAGATCATACCTTGAATAAAGTATGTCACCTCAAACCTTATATGATAGTAGAGGTTCTTGCAAAGTAGGAATATTCGGGGGCACAAGCGTGAGAGGAATCATAGGATCCTTGAAGAGAAGGGGTTGATTTGGATCTACTGTAGGTGGGGACGGTGGTCCGTACACTCCCACCCCATCGCACACGACATAGTTTCGTCCACTTAATATAGAGAGATTAATAATCCTAGGACACACGTCCATATTTCATAATCTATTAAAAGCCGCAACTTGATAAAGCCTAGGAGGCTGCTAGAATCCCTTGCTTTTTTTTATAGCTATTGAATTTGATGTTGATGCTCAAAATTGAAAGAAGTTAGGTTAGTGACACTTATTTTTTTCATGCTTGAACTATGGGGCAGACTAGCAAAATGGAAGTTATATCCATACGGGTTGCACCTTGTTGTCTTAGACTGTTATTGAATCCCCTTTTTATATGATTAACTATCTAAAGTAAAGATTGTTGTCCTTTACTTTAGAGCGTACCGATATTGAAAAAAAGGTTGATGGATGAAGCATCAGAATGACAAATGATTACAATTATGAAAATCGGATAAAGTCGGAAGCCTTTTGAATAAAAGTAACGTCAAGTACTTTGACTACAAGGGGAAGCTTCATAAATAGCTTTGCGTCCTCATCGCTTCTTTCTGGTGACTAATTTCTCAAGTAGGTGGCTTGGTAAGCAAGCCACCTTCAACATAGGTCAAATCCCCCTAAATATGGAGATAGATCCAGATAGAAATTTATATCTTTCTATTTATCGATAGATAGAAAGATATATTAAGAAATGGATCTTGATTTGGTTTCAATATCTATGAATAAAAGAGATCCTTAAATATCCATTTGAGAAAATAAAGTGATGAATAACATTATCTCTTTTATATATATATATATATATATATATATATATATATATATATATATATATATATATATATATGTATATATGTATATGTATATGTATGATTATATATTTGTAAGGATTTTTTTAGTTAATGGAAGAAAAATTTGAAATAAATATTATGGTAGAACTCAAATTCTCTCTCAAACTTCTAATCAGGCAAAGAGAGAAAATATCATTAAATTTTAAAAGAGATATTAAACAATTCAGTATGTCAGACGTAAAACCTATGAACTCCTATAATTTTTTTAAAACCCTTGTGAAAGACAAAAAAAAATGATAACAAAGTATATCAGACGATTTATCGAATTAAACTCTCTTACTTCGAACAAAGTATGATATCATTAACTTTATAATAATATTATCACTCACTTTAGTATGATTTTGTGACTGTCTTTCATTAGGGATAAAACTTACATACATTACTTAATTCGTGTTGTTCCCCAATTGTATTTTAAGTTTTAGATTGATAATATTCTTATTAAAAAAACATTACTTAATTGTTATTTTGATTTCTATGTTTTACAAAATTCCTAATTTGGTATCTAATTTTTTTTCTGTGATTTTATTCTCTTAACTTTTGATTATTCATAATTTTGGTTCTTGAATTTCATTTTGTGTAATTTTGATAGTTTAATTCTTAACTATTTGTAACTTTATTAAATTTTTTTTGTTCAATTACATAGTAATATTATGGAAAATACTAAAAAATTTACTTTACAGACTAAGATTGAAGACGTCGACTTTTTAAAACTGAAAATTAAATAAAGTTACAAATAATAAAAAATTAAAGATTTAGAGTATGTTAAAAGAAATAGAAACCAAAAATTAAAGAAAACAAGTTAAGAAACTAAACTACAAAAAGTAAAATAAAATTACAAATAGCAATGTACTATGTTTATTACAATTGGTATAATTTAAATACTGACATTATTAATAAAATGTAATTAGCATCAAACCAAAGTTACAAACAAGTCAACTTTTAAAGAGAAAAGTGTTTTATTTTTCATCATTTTACTTCATTCGGTTTAAAATTTAAGGGCACTGCCAGAAAAATGATAACAAATGTTTTTTTATTTGCTTTTTTCAACTGTTTAATAAATATTAAACTAAATTGCCTTTATGAAGGGAGGGATGGAAGGTCACCGTCAGGGATGGCAAAAAAATCCGCGCCCGCGGATATCCGCGGATAAAATCCACGACGGATAGTTGATACCCGCGGATATTTACTACCCGCAATCTGCGGGTAGCGGATATTTTAATACCCGCTTATAAACGGGTCGGGTGCGGATATTATACTATCCGTACCCGCGGATATCCGCTACCCGCAAAAAATAAAAATAAAAATTTAATTTACATTTTATTAAGTTAAATTTAATTAAAATTAACATTAATTTATATTTTACAATATTAAATTTAATTAAAATTTATATTTAATTTAATTTATATTATATTTTATGTATTTTTTATAATTTTATTTAAATTTTATTTTAATAATTTATTAAAATATATATTATTTTAATATTTGCGGGTATCCGCGGATATCCACGGGTATCCGCGGGTTTTAAAATATACGCGGATATTTTTTAAGCGGGTATCCGTACGGGTAGCGGGTCGGGTAGCGGGTGGATTTTTTTTTGTCGGGTCGGGTTGCGGGTAGGCACTATCCGTACCCGACCCGATCCGTTGCCATCCCTAGTCACCGTTGTCTCCCATGATGACTAGATTGAAAAAAAGAAGCGAAAAAAGAGAGAGATGGCCAGATAGATACTGGATATAAAAGTTTGCACATATACATAATTAATTGTGTACAAAAGTAGTAAGTTTCTTTTACCTATAATCGCGGGATTTTGTCTTTTGTTTATTATAATATATTTATAAAAAAAATATTAAAAACATAATTATTTTTTATTTATAACAATCAAAATACCAAAATTTCAACTCATCTTCAACCTCTTTTACCCAATTGGAAGACTCTCGCTTCCTACCCTAATTCGGACACAAATGAGAGAACATGTATCGTTCAGATATCTTTTTTTGGCGAACATTCGCTTCTCAACTGGACATTATTGTATTTGCTCTCATAAAGTTTCGAGCTCACCGGAATAGAGCTTCTTCACATGCGAAATTAATTTCTTATTATATAACTTTATTTGGATGATTTCATAGGAAAATCACATAAAAATTGTTTTTTAAATTATAAAGAAAGATCACGTCCTGAACTGAAGTTGAAGTTCAAATCTCCACGCAAGGCCAAAATTTTTAACACCATGCATGACTTCATTACGTAATCACCAACTTCTTTTAAAGTGTATGGAGAGATTGGTTGAACATAAAATGTTCTCCCAAATAAACTTGTAATAGGAAGCAAATACCATCTTCAACAACATTCTTCGGTTACATACTAATCAAATTATCACAAGGAAATCAATTCGTTGAATGTGATCCGAGAAAGCAAATGCATAATTTAATCTAGCATTAGAAAGATTGAACAATTACATGCTATTAAGAACTCAGTCACGCTCACTTATTGCAGTCAAGTGCTCATCAATTTCCTCAGTGGTTAGAACTCTGAATTCTGGATTATCCTTTCGCACCACTCCAACCTGGAAAACGCAAGGCACAACCATTTGCAATAAGTCAGTGAAGAAAACGTTTGTTCAATGGTTATAACCGCAACAATTTTAATCCTTCAAGTCGCACTTTACATAAAAATTGTAAACACAGATTAACGCCACTGAATGTAATTTCAAAATAAAGTATCCACTTCTGGAACAAGTTAAAATACAGTCCTTCAGTTTACCCACCATTTTACAACACAATCCTCCATTACACACCAATATCAGTTTCACTTATTAGCAGTCCAAATTAAGCATTAGAATCACAAAGAATTGCAACTCGAGTGGATGAGAAGTTAGATTTCTATTCACCTACAAGTAAAACTAATGAAACAACGAAAGCAGAAGAAAAATGTTCTGACACGAATTGCCTGTTCAAACAAACGCAATAGGCTGTGTACGATAAATATATATGGCTTACATTTAACAAGAAGGAACAAGAAAGTTGTTAAAAATCTTTTTAATATTAAAGACCAGTCTTGGTCCTTTGCTAGGGATTACACACGAATGAAATCCGGCAATAACTTTATAAAGATATGGCTTAGTTTGCAAATTTCAATTAGGAAGGGGAATAAAATTCTACCTCAATCTCAGTGGCCTTAAAATCCTCCTGAAGAACTGATTGGAGAGCAGAAATGGCAGTCTGATAAAAAGAAAAAAAAAAAAAAGAACAGGCAGGGAAATCTTCAAGTCAGAACATAGAAACGAAATTTAATAACTATTAACAAAATTGATATTAAAAAATTCAATTTCAAATGCCTTTAGTTGCAATATTGGTAAAAGTCTTGCAAACAAAAACTAACAACCATTTATGAGATAAATACAGATAAGAAACTAATTAAATTAAGATACAGGCGGGGACAACAAATATTATAATGTCATAACTAACGTAATAAGATATAGTTTTAATAAGGAACCAAAAGTTTAGTTCTTGTAACATTATCTGATTCCCATGGATAAGTCCTCTGTCTGGCATTAACACTTACAGAAGATAACAACCATCATTCCTATTCTAAGCAAAGCCAAAATTGAGATTATTTAAATCTACTCACTCATGTTTCAGACTTTTCAACTTCTGTTAGAACAGATAATCTTCAGCAAACACAAGTGAATTCAACATTTTGTCCAGTAAGTTTCATGCGGACTAATAGTTATAGAACATAATAGCACAACTATACAATATAATTATGTTGCCAGAAGAAAAAACCAACAAAATTCACTGTTTATCTAAAAAAGAATGGAGGAAATCTGACATGATGAAATATATATCTTTGATAACAGACATTCTTGGAGACAAAACATGGGATCTTCATTTTCCACATCAACCAAAAAACCAGTGTAAAGATTGTTTATTTCTCAAACTAAACAGATATAAATGGAGGAAAAAAAATCGAAAGAGCACTACCTGCACCGTCTCCTCATAAGTAAATGAAGGGTCATTCTTCATCTTCTTTTCCAAGAAATTAATTGCCTCTTGGTCCTTCAATCCAGCACTTGTGGCCTGAGTACATCATAATAGATTCTTAGACACTTGAATTTCTGTATACAAATACGAACAGATAACAAAAGCATGAACTAATGAAGAAACAGAAACACCATCACTTGCTTTGAAAAGTTTACAAGGTTCGAAACCAATGTGCATCATAATCTTACATATATATGGACAAGCAATGAAAAATTCAGAAGGAAATGTAGTCAGCAGATCTAACAAAACAAAAATTGCAATACAGATTTTTTTTAAAATAACAAAATCACTAAGCACCAAAGATGCATAAGTTTCTCAATGTTACTAGTTCTACTAGGAAGTAAAATTTAGACCAAATAAGGACGGGGCAATTTAGGGGCAGTTGAAGGTTCAAGATCTTTTACATATATGGTTACACATTTTATAACACTAGTACATTATAAAGATAATTGCTGCATAAAGTTCAAAATATGAACAACTTGTGATGAATTCAAGGTTGCTAAATCATTTTTACAAAATCACTAATTTACATACTCCCTTACCGGCATTATTGACTAGTTATAATCCTCCTTTTCTTGGTCAATCATAACTGTAGTTATACTGCCATGATAACTTTTCATTTGGTTCAGTAGTTCAATCAATAAATCATCTCAGTAAGCTCATACAATGCAATCTTACACTTGTAATAGAAGAAATGGAATAAACAACTTTCATGAATAAAGGCACCAGTCAATCTTGGTGTAGTCATCCCCAAACCCCTCTATCATTTAACTATTTAATGATGTGAGATAATTATTTTCAATGCATGAGACATTTAAATCGATGAAAGTTATAACTTAGAAACTTTTATAAAATTGAGTTTATTATCAAGATGTTTTTCATCTTCTGATTAAATAGCAACAAACCACTAAAATATCTACTGTCAATCAAAGTCAGAAAGATCTTCCACGTACCTTGTGACCAAAGTAATGACCAGCAGGATCACATTTGTAAAGCTGTGGTCCGTATTCATCATCTATACCCAAAACCATAGCAACTTCATGGCACAACAGATTTGAAATCACAGAAAGAAGAAATGGTGTCAATAAAAATCGTAGGTAATTGAATTATTAAATATCTTTTATGATACAAACACAATTTATGCGAATTTTCAAAAAAGTTAAACATTTGTTCAACAGGGAAAAAGCTAAGAAGAAAACCTACCTACTCCAAGTGGTCTCATATATGCATGTTGGGTATAGACTTGTGATTTGTCTGCAATCCTGTAAGTATAAAAGATAACAAAGGCAGACACAAAAGATGTTATAAATATTGCAAGTTGTAGAATCCTAATATACAGTAGCTAAAATAATGTAGCCTTTGATAAAACTCAAAACTACAATCAGATTCAATTTAAGAGATTAATGATTATAAAAAGACTCTTTCAAAATAATGTTGAGGCATATTCAAGTTAAGAGAGAGAGAGAGAGAGAGAAGACAGGCAGAAAAGGTTATTTATATATTGGTATTGATAAAATGTACAAAAGAAAACAAGGATTCTTTTTACATGGATAATGAAAGAAGCAAAGCTGTAAACCATAAAAACACCTTAAGAAAACCGTATCATACTGAATACTACACTAACAAGGCAGCAGCCGAAAACCTTCCACAATGTGCATAGACACAACTACCACTGCAATTAAATTTATTCTGCATGCATCAAACATGTCAAAAAGATTTCCTCATCGAACCCATATTCAGTTACTATATACTTCAATACAGAAAATCATAAAAATGACAAAAATACCATCACAATCTTCAATGTTAAAGCTAGCAGACATATTTAACTTTAAAAATCTGTTTGATAATCCTTTCGAGATCACAGAAATGAATCCTGACAGACCAGATTACCCAGAGATAATACCCTACAACCACATCGAACCATAAAATTGAAAGCAAAAGCACAAGTTATTTAGAAGTAATGCTAAAGCAAACAACACTACCACGGTGGCACTGCTGCAAAAGCTGATAGCATTTTATTTAAGGAATTTTTATAAGTACATTAATGCAGCCATAGAAAGCTCAAACTCTAAAAGTGTCTAAGAAATGGTTTACTATCCTTTGCCAAATACCTTTATATCCCAAATGTTTAATCATAATCAATGCTATTTCCAGAGACTGGATGAAAATTTGGACACAACTAGTTTATTACTTATTAAATTAGAAAAACTAGGTGAAGATGACAAAAAACCACAGATAGAAAACAAGGCAGATGGAAATGCATGAGAAAGTTAATCGCCAACTTTACTATAAAATTTGCAGTAAGTTCTTTATCAAACCAACTAGGAAAAAGGAAAGACATCAATGAGCAATCTCACCAATCACCAAATAAATTCAACCCTTATAAAACTAAATATCAGGTCTAACACTTCCATTCTTCATTAGCATTCAGCATCCTTTTCAGAAACAGATGATAATATTAATAAAGAAATTAATGTCCGAAAATGGCATATAAATCCATGGCCCTAACGGTTCCTACTGTGGGATCTGTTAACAGCAGCACCTGTTTGAAAGGAGCAGTTTCTTCACTGTTTTAGTACATTAGGTTGTTTACTGATTCGTCAGCTTGCAATCTACCTAGTCAACAAAGTAGGACGACCAATGGACTTCCCACTCGCAATCCAATTATTAGAAGAACGTTACAACAATATGGATCAATGCCTATCTTGTACTTATCCAGTTACCTTAAATGAAGTGCAGATGAAATTCTTCATTAAAAAATGATAATTTGCAAGCATATATGAAAAAGAATAATCAGCAGCTTGTAATATTATGGTGGAAAAATATGTTTCAAAAACTGAACTGCTTACCATCTAGCTAACACATCTACAGGCATCTCATATCCATATGTAAAGCGAAACTCAGCTGCTTCATTTCTTGCTTGTTGGACCAGTGTCCTAGCATCAGCTGCAAAGATGTATTCCAAAATAAATCAAAAAATGAATTTATAATGTAAGGAAATTTCAGTTCTAAACAGATCTGAAAAACTAAAAAGCTCTGTTTACTCTGACTGAAATTTGAACATGTGCTCATACATCAAAGTTTAATTTACAGAAAAAACAATAATATTATTGTCTCTATTGCGAATCCAGTATGTTATGTTATCAGTAGGCAAAACCTGGACAGTATAACTAAAGTCTTTTCTCTTCATAAATTATTAATTATAGTTATATCACCATCAGAATGTGAACCTGGTCATAGTTTATGTTATCCATAAACATAACTTCGACAGTAACATTAAGGTTATTTCTCATCATAAACTATTATTTATATTTTATGAAAGATTTCATAGATTTATTGATCAATATTACACATGAAACAAAATGTACATCTGAAACACAAAGGTTTGGCACCAAAACGAATATCTAATTTCCTATATGCCATAATCTAGGAAAATTATAAGCATTATCTAATAATCACCATGTCTTTCTTATTTATCCTCTCACTAACCAGTAGCTTGGGTTGATATCATATTTTTGAACTTGTAATTTATGTTTTAATCGAGATACAACATTTGTGAAACTCTACCCAATTTAACTTGTACAGATAAAAATACATATACTTTAACTAAAAGATATGCAAAATAAATTCACAAATGCCTACAACAAAAGAAGCAGAGATGGAATGAAAAATATACCTGTCATGCCAGTCGCCAACAAACCAAGGTACTTTGTGATGGGAAAGAGGTGTGTAACACTTGTCTGGTCCAAAAGCTTATCCTGCATGTTATCCTAACTTAAGCATCCAGCACACATAAACAAAACAAAGATCAAAGAACCAACTATCAGTACTCACCGGAACCTTCTTCTGAGTAACAACACAAATGGAATCCTTTCCTCGGACACCGATTGAGGTGATTCCAGCAGCCTTAACAGCCTTGAAAGCATACTCTGTTTCATGATGCATAAAAATTTCCACCACTCAACACTATAGCCTAACTTACTAGTCAACTCATTCCAAACAAGTCAAACAAGTGTAATCATAAACCTACCCCAATCCAGGCCATTTCGTTAATTAGAGAGAGTTACAGATTTAAGGCAGATAGGGCTAAAACAAGGCTGAACATAACATTATTCCAAAAATTGAAAAAGAAAAGAACACAAAAAAGGACAAAGAGATACTCATTATGAAAAGAGAACAAAATATTCCATTCGTAAGTGAGCACACAATCAATCAATTCAGAGTCAAGCGCATTTCTTAACTTCCGATTTCCACATTACTATCCTGGCACACTAATCCACTACCACTAATCTAAACTGAAATCACAAAAATTACAGCAATGATTTCTTCTAAAGTACACAAAAATAATTGTTTTCCGCACAGAATTGCAGAAATTGAAGTGAAAGATCTAAACCGTATTTCACTTATCAAAACGTCGCTGTTGTTGCTAGAGGTCACAGGAAAAGAAGAGATTCGAGTAACGTACCAACTTGAAAGAGGCGTCCCTCGGGAGAGAAAATAGTGATGTGACGATCGTATCCGCCTCCACTTCCTCGACTCATCTTAACCCTAACGGATGACGGCGGAGTGCGACAGCGCTTGCGATGGTCGACGACGATGACGACGGCGGCGACGAGAGTGGTGTATTGGTTTTCGAGAAAGTGCAACGAAGAAGTCGAGAGTGGAGACGGTGCTCTTCCGGTATTAAAGTGTCGATCTCAACTTCCTACTCAAGAAAACAAGGGGGTTTCATTTTGCGATCCAGAAGAATCAAAATGGGCCAGCAATTCTTGCCCATTAATTATAGGGCTACACACCGGAAAATAAAAAAGATGCTACTTTCTGTACCCCTAAAATTTCATCACACTACCTCTCAAATTTTCAAAATGACTAATTTATCTTATGTAGAAGTGACTTACGGATTATATATTTCGAAACTTTCAGAACAAGCTTTCCAAAATTTCAGAAATAAGATTTTCAAAACAAGATTTTTGGAACAGAACTTTTGAGAATGAGGTTTTTTAAATAGAATTTCAAAATACATTTTAGAACAAATTTTTTTAACCGAGATTTTGAGAATAAATTTTTGGGAACGCATATAATGTGTTCCAAAGCACACGAAATACATTTTGAAAAAAAAAATAGAACATGGCCTTTTTTTTCTACAATATTTTTCCTCTCTTCTTAGCATTGAGGCAACAACATAGATGACATTATGCAATAATGAAAGGTGTTAAGTCTTTTCATCATGTTGTGGAGATACATTTAATAATTAGGTTTAATGTTTCAATAGGTAATTTTTTCGTCCAGAATCTCAAATAAGTCTCCTACTTATTTGTTGTCTCAATTAGGTCCTTATTTTTAAAAAAATTGAAACGAAAAAAGGCTTGCCGTCAAATTAGACAAACATCGTTTAAGAGATCATTAGTTGGCTTGCTGACCGTATTATTTTAAATGACGTGTAACTACATGATTGTGATGTTTATTTTGGAACTTTTGAATTAAAAAATTGAGGACAAATTGGAAAAAAGAAATTAAAGGTAGCCCCTTTCTCTACAATTGAGAAATGCGAAATTAGGGTTCATGAGAGAGAAAAAACAACGTTTTTGTTGGATTGTGAAATTAGGATTCGTGGGTGAAAAACACTAGATTTCAAAAGGAATCACAATTAACCAAACACTCGATTTAAGATATACGAAGATTTAAGTGTTTGATTTTTTTAATGAACCTATTTTTTCTCACATCCTCTTTCTCATTCATTCAAAATTTCAAAATTTTCACTCCTATCTCTTGTTTTGCTCACTGCCCCAACATTTCTTTTCAAATCTTCATCTATGTAAAATAGCTTTCTTTGCCCTCTGTCAATAGTAGCTTCCAATTTCTCTCCATCTCCCTTTGAATCTTCATTTGTCAATCGCAACTTTCAATTGGTAATGGTTTTTCATTTGTTCTCTTTGGTTTTTTAAATTTTCTTTTCACTTTCCCGTCAATTTCTCACTTTGCCCTTTTTTATGTTTGTTTCTGTGAAGAGAGATCTTCTCAGACACTGCGTTTTTCAAATCTGCGATGCGTTTGGGACCGACTGCTTTACGGGTTCAGTGGCTTTGTCCCTATGTCGTGGGTTTGGTGTTTTGTGTGTTCGTAGTTGTATCCCAGGTTCCAATGTTGGCTTCCACGGTGTCCATCACCGCTGTGAACCCAGGGGCGCGTCGGTGCTCGCTGCCGAGAGGAAAACTGCCACCAACATCAAGCTCCTCACCAACGACATCGTCGCCTCCCACGCAATTGCGACTTCCGGCGAAGGTTCCACTCACACTTTCTCCAATCTGTTTTCACATTTCTCAATGGGGAGAAAGAGGCTATCTTTAAGTTCTTTTCCCCAATTTTTCCTCAAGTTTTTAATTCGGAAATTACAAAATGCACGGCACAATCATGTATTTACTGCCACGTCATTTAAAACAATATTGTCAGCATGTCACCTAATGGTCTCTAAAACAGCGTTTGTCTAATTTAACACTATGTTTCAATTTTTCAAAAATAAGAACTCAATTGAGACAACAAATAAGTAAGAAACTTATTTGAAATTCCAGACGAAAAAAAGGACCTACCGAGACATTAAACCTAACAATTATGAAGTGGAAAAGCAATAGCCTAAAAGAGAATTCAATTTGCACTCCTTTCACTCATTTTTATATTTTTTTCTGAGAGTTTACCCTTTCAGAAGCTAACTTTTTGGAAGTTCTCTAATTTACGTACTTTCTATGCATAACCAGTTTCGATAATATATTAAAAATAATACATTACATACATGATGTAAGATTTTATATCTGGTAAAATCTTGGAAGCTATGATGGGGATTCATATGATAATGTTGTATTTTATGTAAGATTTACACAATATAAATATAAGACGGTTAACCATTTTTCTTTTGTATTCCATTGTCTTTATATTGTTGACTAAAAAATATCATTAAAACTATTTTTTTATTAATTTATAGAATAATGGCGAAAAAAATGAGTTCATGAAGATAAGCGTCGACAAGAAAAGTAGAGAAGAAAGAGTGGTGGGAGGAACTAGGGAGATTTAAAAAATAAAGGATTTTTCTTTTGCTTAAAAACATGAAATAATAATATTAGTATTTTCAAAAATAAGATAATGGTGTGAAGACAAAAGAGATGGTGTGAAAATAAGGGACACAAAAACAGATAAGTTTTGACTATTGAACCATATTAGGATAATCGATTATTACATGCTAAACAACTGACAACAAATTTTTAGAGGTATCTTTGAGTGAGATCTTTATAAATTAGATTGAAACTCTCATTCTAAAATACAACATACAAAATAAGTGTATATCGAAATTCTTATCTGCTTTGTGCGGTGATAAGTATATAGGGTTTGTGTAACCCTTGTGTTGTAGCTTTGAGAACTTGGTGTGTTGACATAGAGCGAGAACTTTCACTGAAAGTGTGATTGAGTGTTATTGTTGTTGTTGAGTTGAACGCCTGTCATTCTTTGTGAAGATTCAAAGGAGGTGGTCATCCTTCGTGAAGCATTCGGAGGAGCAGTTCATCCCTTGTGGGTTACAGGGAAAGTAACTTTCGTCTATTGGGGGTAACAAGAGAGGTATTCTAACCTTCGACTTGTTTATTTTCTTTGTGGTTGTAATAGTTTGTTGGTTTGTGCTAGTGAAACAATTGAGATTAATAACTAGATGTAGGATCTTTGTGATCTGAACTAGTATAAAAATTACCTGTGCAATTTTTTGTCTTCCTTACTCTTTTAATTTGTTTAAAATCTTTTAAGGAATTTATATTCACGAAAAAGTTATTAAAAAGAACGATTTGCGATAAGAAACAAATTCACCCTCGTTTTGGTTTGTTGAACGCATTAATCATTCTGCTGTGCCGCTCTAACAAAAGTGTTTGAATGGAAAATGTTGTTTGAAAACAAATGCGATAAGGCAGATTTTAGTTTTATATTGGTTCACCAATTTGAGTTATGTTCAGTTCTTTCTCAACAACCTATTAAGAGGTTCCACTAATATGAGTTTAACCACTCTTGGTTTACAACACTAACTAGTTGGTTAGACAAGTTTAACCACTCTTAGTATCAACACTAGAAAACCTGTCTAGAACGTTTAACTCCATTGAGTTAAATAATAAAAGTGTTGGAATTCACTTTTGAATCTAAATACAACAAGTGTTCTTGAGTTCTTACAAGACAAAAGATTACTCTCAGAAAGGATATATAAATAATATAGTGAACTTATAAAAACTTGTAAAAGATCTTCTCATAGATGAGTTGCAAAGAAAATAGCTTAGAGAAAGATAACGAACTTATAATATTTTTAATAGAAAAGTTCTTGTCTTCTCTACAACACTTCTCTTTATATAGAAATTTTCGATAAAGATCCACTACTGAGCTTTAACTTTATTTTTGGTATGATGGAGTCAGAAGCTATGTTGCTTCCTTGTAAAATAATTATGGTGTGTACGGATGAGACAAACAAAAGGTATGTATGAAATATTCTTTGAATATCCTCATGTCTCTGAAAGTTATTCTCATTTTGAGTAGACTTTTGAATAAAGTTGATAATCTGCACAGAAAAGATAGCACAACACAACAGACAAACAAAGCTTGAACTTACATGCATTCAAACCCTTAGATGACCTAGGTGTCAACACCCAATTTCGTCCGGGTGACTAAATAATATATGTTTTTTCTTTAATTCCATTTTATCTTATTTTATGTCTTTTTATCATGTTAATTCTATTTTATTTCGTTTTATATTATTTGTTTTTATTTCATTTTCTATACTAGTTTTTTATTTTAATTCTATTTTTATTTTATTTTTACTTTATTATATTTTTACGTTAGTTTATTTTGTTATTTTTGTTTTAATTTTAACTTCTTTACTTTAATTCGTTTGTTAAACGTGGCGGTGAGCGGCAACATCGGCGATGAGCCACGATTCGTTTTGGTGATCGTTTGATGCTAGTCTGTTTTGAGTAACTTGTAAAATTGTTTAGTAATGAAGCATTTAGCGAAACTTTTGTTAGACACTTTATATGTTTTGTTAGACGTTGTGGCAATTAGACACTCTATTAGGAGCTAACATTTAACGCTTTTTATATATACTTTAGACACTCTTATGTCATATTGTTTAGTCATCTTTAAAAGTAGCGTTTAACACATTTAATAGATATCATACACAATTAAACATTATTTTGTTTAGACGAAATTTTAAACTTCAAAACAATGTTTGTTTAGACGATCTTATCTTAACAAAAATAAATGATTGTTAATAAGATTGTTTTTTATTGGTTAACATTGGACTGTAATTAAAACCATTTGCATCCTCATTTGAAAAAAAGCATGTTTACTTTTTGTTCTTTGCCAAGCAACCTATGTATTGAAAAATTACTGCATAACCAACCAAAATCAACAATATCATGTGATGCATAAACCATCAATATATACAGTTCAATGGAAAACGATATAATGAAATGAAGTATATAAAAAGTATAGGAAATGTCAAGTGTCAAGAGTTTTAAAACATAATATCCATTAGTGAAAATAAAAAATAAAAAACAAAGTTTAGAAAATATCATCTGGCCTGATATGTTGTAGAAATTGGTAAAATAAGTTTCTCATATTGATCTAACATAATTTTTATATTGAATCTTAAATAGAAAAATAGGGTCACTGGATGAAATATAAAACTAATTTACAC